TCTCTCTCTCTCTCTCTCTCTCTCTCTTTTTAACCTGGGCCTTGGATTTTCATCAGTATAGGGAACCTTTTTCTGTAACTGGAGAGATGCCTGGGGACACTGAGAGGAAAAGTGACTGGCCCAGGATGGAACAGTCAGTATTGAGACTCTGGGGCTGAACTCTCACCAAGGTGCCATGACCCCATTTATAGAGAAGCAAATTGAGGCTGAGGGAAAGGGACTTGTCCCAAATTCCACAGCTAATAGAGTGGCAAGAGCTAGAACTTGAACTCAGGTCCCTGACTCCAGGCCTAGCACTTCTACTTTCCTGTTTCTCTTCAAGGTCACAAAGACCTTTTGAGGCAGGTAGAGGATCTTAGATTTGGGACTGGAAGGGACATCTAGTTGTGGTCATTCCCATTTGAAACTGAGGCCCAAAGAAGTGACTTACTAAAGATCCCAGAGCTTGATGTTTATCCTGTACATAGCTTGATTTGTATGTATCTATTTGCATCTCATTTCCTCATTAGATTATAAGCTCCTAGAGGGGAAGGACTGTCTTTTGCCACTTTTTGTATTCCCAGGGTTTAGCACAGTACCTAGTACATAGTAGGTACTTAAGAAACAGTTATTGAGTGGCCACTACGTGGTGCAGTGCACCACGTGGTGCAGAGCACCAGCCCTGAAGTCAGGTAGGACCTGAGTTCAAATCTGGCCTCAGACCAAACACTTGACACTTACTAGCTATGTGACCTTGGGCAACTCACTTAACCCCAATTGCCTAAAAAAAAGAAGAAGAAGAAGAAGAAGAAACAGTTATTGAATCGAATTGATAAGCAGCAGAGACAGGATTTAGAACCTGGCCTTCTGTCTTTCCTAGTCTTCTCTCGTCCCTTACCCCGTGCTTTCCGGTAGAGATTAGCTTCTGTTTATACTGCCCCAATCTTCCATCTGTTGGTATGCAGTCTCACCCATTGGAATGTGGGCTCCTAGAGTGCAGAAGTCATGTTTTTGCTGTGTGTGTGTGTGTGTGTGTGTGTGTGTGTGTGTGTGTGTGTGTGTTTTAGCACTGTGCCTGGCATGTAGAAAATGCTTAAATGCCTGCTGACTTCACCTCTCTAACCTAACTTCGTCCTTGTTGTTTTTTCAGATTTCCACTAGTGGGGGTGTGACCTACGAACGAATCAGCAAGAAGTTGTCTTAGGCAACCAAAATCCTGGACCCCTCCTTGCAAGGATAGGGAAGAAAACTTAAATAAAGCCAGTTTTAAACACAAACTTATCTAGTGTTTGGAGTCTTGGTCTCAAGAAATCAAGAATTTTTGATGTCTTAAAACATGTTGTTTCTGGGGATTGGGGTTGGACAAGAGGAGGATCTTGGGTTTCTGTGGATTGCATTACAGTGTTGGGACATCTGTCCTAGGACCTCAAAACTCTATAGTCTCCCAGGAAGGATTAAAAGGTAGAGGGAAGGGGGAGGAGGAGGAATCAGGCAGTAGGAGGAAAGTCCTTGCATCCCAGTCTCATCCAGACTGGCATGGGTACTGCCATGTCTAATTCCACAATTAATACTGGTTTTGGTCAAGGCACCCAGGTGGTTTGCATTTTAAAAAGTGTGTTCCTTTGGTGACCCTTGCAAACGAGAATGAATTTATTAATGGGAAAACAGGAGGCAGGGCAGATATACCCAATGAAGCAGAGAAGGGGGGCACTGTAGCTACTGGGAGGGGAAGAGTGAGCAAGAAGCCAGAAGGGGACACAGGAAACAGGTGAGACACACACTCACAGGATCATAGATTTAGCACCAGAAGGGACCTCAGCCCATTTAGGAAGATAGTGGGGCCCAGAGGTGCTAAGTATTTTGCATAAGATCTTGCAGAAGCAGGATTTGAACCCTGACCCTTTGACTCTAAATCCATCGCTCTTTCTTTTGTCCCATGAAACTCTGCCAAGTGGATTCACTCCACCCTCCCAGGGCAGACAGTCATGAAGCATTTATTAATGTGCACTCCTGTGTGCCAGGCATTGTACTAAATGCTGGGGCTACAAATAAAAACAGAAAAAAGACTATACATACAAGGGGACACAGTGGATAGAGTACCAGGCCTGGAGTCAAGAGGACCTGAATTTAAATCCATCCTCAGACATTTACTAGCCGGCTGATCCTGGGCAAGTCATTTCACCCTCTTTGCCTCAGTTTTCTCATCTGTAAAGATGAGCTGGAGAAGGATATAGCAAACCACTCCAGTATCTCTGCCAAGAAAACTCCAATTGTAGTTGACTTAACAACACATGAAAGGACACTGAAAGGCTAAGGAGCGGGGTGGGGAGGAGAGACAAGGAAGGGCATGGTGGTTAAGTTCTGAGGGAAGGTTGATGTGGACCCTTCCCCCAAACGGAGATTTCTGGAAGATCTCATCCACGGGAGAATTGCCTGCAGGCTCCAGGAATGCTTTCCTGTCTTTCCCTGAGACTACATGCTAGGCTGGATGGGTCCTAAGAAACTGACTCAGGAAACCTAGTTTTAAGTCCTGGATGTACCCATTACTTTGGTACTATGACCAAATGATCTCACCTCTCTATCCCTCAATTTTCTCATCTGTAAAATGGGGGAATAATAGTATTTCCTTATCTGTCTGCTTGGGAGTGAGCATGGTATGTAGAGAAAGAAGGCTGGTGTTAAAGGGAGACTTGAGTTCAAGTTCTACCTCTCTAGCTGGGTGACCAAAGATAAGTGTGCCAATTTTGTTGCTTAGTCATCTTTTTTAGTTGTGTCTGACTCTTCGTGACACCATCTGGGGTTTTCTTGGCAAAGAGTGATTTGCCATTTCCTTCTCCAGTTCATTTTACAAATGAGGAAACTGAGGCAAACAGAGTTAAGTGACTTGTCTAGGGCCACACAGCTAAGCATCTGAGGCCAAGTTTAAACTAAGGAAATAGAGTCTTCTGGACTCCAGGCTACCTAACTGCTGTGAGTGCCCTGGACAGCTCCCGAATTTCTAGTCTTCAGGATTACCTCATTTGGTCCTCACCACAACTCAGTGAGGTGGGTGCTATTATCTCCATTTTAGATAAGGAAATTGAGGCTGACAGGTTAAATGACTTGCCCAATGTCATACAGCTTGTGTCTGAGGCAGAATTTGGCCTACTTCCCCCACCTCTCTGCTTCAGATGTTAAATCAGATGAGTTATCTTCTGCCTCTAAGGAGGGAATTTCCTATTCTGGTATGCAGATATGATAACGTGACCATGTTTTATACGCTTTGTAAATACAAGGGATAATGTTCTTGTGTGTTCAGCCTTGGCTCCAGACAGATTTCTAACGTCCTCTGCTACCTGGCCATTAGCCCCCTACCCCTCATCTTGATGACTGCTACAATTCTGGCTCATTTCTGAGAGAATAGTCCTTCCTACCACCTTTCAAGTTCATCCTTCTACCAAGACTTATTGCTAATTAAGTGACCTAGGTAGGCATTAAATTAAACCAGCAGTATTGTTCTTCCCCCTCCAGATTGAATAATTACTTATAATGAGCTTGGATAATAAGTCTCTAAATAACAGAGAGTTAGCTGTAATTAGGCTGAAAAACTCAAATTTACTTCTTTGGAACAAGGGCAAATACAAACTGCAGGGTTGAAATTTATCAACTTTCTCTCTCCACCCAACTTCTGTCCCCACCCCCCATTCACAATCCTACCCCTCTTTAGTAGGGCTAGGAGACTTCATCAGCCTCCCAAAATATACAATGCTCAGAAAATCCTTTTGTGAGGAACTCAGGTGATCATGGGCAAGTTATTTCATCTGATACTTGTTTTGTCAACTGCAAAACAGCTGCGTATTTTGAAAGCTTATTGTATGAATGAAATACAAGATGTGATAAAAAAGGGATCTACCTTATTTAATCAAATCACTCTCAAGCTCAAGACCCTCCTGTGGCTCCCTATTGCCTATCACAACAAATTTAAAGTCTATTAACTATCATATTCTTCAACTGCACCCTTAAATGATATCTCCCAGAACACATCTTTTCTCCAGCCAAACTGATCTTAGATACTGATACTCCCTCCATGACCACCAGGTGGGGCTCCATTCCCTGTTCCCAATATCTTTGAAACCAACCCTTTGCAGGCAAGGATTTGTTTTTGTTATCAAATGGGAGATTTTTGGGTTGTAGACGTGTTTAAGCTGGTGTGCATAGCTATCCAAGCTAAATGCTTCCAAGTCTGCCCTGCCGACTCTTAACACCCATGAAGAGGAGAGGCACCTTTAGACCTGTTACAATCTCTCCTGGGTTCTATTTTCTCACCTTGGTTGGCCAAGTCCTAACTGATCTCTTTAGTTGCCTTCCAGCATCATGATGCTGTGAGTCCTAAATCACATTAGCAATGTGGCAGTGCCCAGGAAGCTATTTATCTGACTGCTGGTAAGTGTGCTCCTAGGAAATTCATTTCTATTCAGTAAATCAGGAAGGGGGGGGGAAGGGAGGAGGAAGGCATGTTGGAGTTGCATCAAGGTATAAATGGCTTTTAGGTGACGGAGAGTGGGGACACAGCTCATATTGCACTGCACCATTCTCCTTCAATATATTTGGGAAATACTGGGATACAGAACCAAAAAAATTAGAGGAAAAAAAAGGGGGGCATGACGGAACTTTGAAAATTTTTATTAAGTTTTATAAGTACAAAAAATTAGTTGGTCAGGAAGTCTGCTTGAACTATCAACAAAAAAATAAATTAAGGCATTAAAACAAATAACTGGCCCTTCTGTAGTTTGCATAAGACTTCACATATATTATCTCACTTAAACCTATAATGGATAGGTATTGTGGCAACTGTGCAGATGAAGAAACTGAGGCTGAGGACAAGGGGTCACAAAGCTGAGTAGCTGGATTTGAACCCAGGTCTTGACTGATACTCAATATTCTATCCACAATTCCACTCTACAAAGTTCCCCAAGAAATGCTATGTACAAACAGTGGCTTCAACAGCTGATATTGTTTTAATGAATACCTTAACCAGTGCTTATAATTAAGTGGGTGGTGATATGCAAACTTGGTGCTGTTGAAACCGTTTTAAGTGTGTGTGGGAAAGCTTCTTTTGCTAAATTGTTCTCCCTGGAAATCCCATTAACAACGAGTGATTACATCAGCAGAGTCCATTGTATTTTCCTTAGTAACTTTTTCAGACACCTTTCCTGGGCTCTCAGAAGCCTCTTCAAGGAGGATCAGTAAGTCAGCAAACATGTATTTTGACGGAGGACCGACTTGCTCCAAGGGTTGATTCTTTATCCTGCTGGAGTTTGGGAGACCATGGATTCCCAAGTGACCCAGGCAGGAAGTCTGAGGCAACAAGGGGGTGGCTGCTTATGCAGAAGGCGAGAGGGATCATCAGATTTGGACCAGGAAAGAACTCATCTAGTCCAATCTCCTCACTTAAGAGATGTGAAAACCAAGGACCAGAAAAGTGAATGGCCTTGCCCAGTCTGTTTTTTTTCTTTTTTAAAGACATTACCCCAACTCTGTCTAGATTGTACTCTCCTCAGTGATTTGGGTGTTGGGCTGTCTCCTTGCACAATTGCACAAGCTAAGGTGTTGTTTCCCTAGCAGGGTAGACCCAACCCTCAGGGCTCACCTGAGCTCAGCATGATGGAGGGATGAGGGATGGGGTGGAAAAGAGCACAGGGCTACTTGTATGACTTTGGACCTTGATTTTCCTCTTGGGGCGAAGTTCCTCATCTGTAAAATCAGATTCTTGTACTAGATCCCCAACTGGACTAGACAGGATCACTTTAGGTCCCTACCAGCACCAGCATTCTATGCTATAGTGATTCTAAGCACCAGGAGGCTGAAGAGCTTACCTGGTTTATAAGTCTCAGCTGGGCCCTGAATGTGACACAGCATTATGGAAATGGGTTCATGAAAGTAAAGAATTGGCCTTCCTCCTCCCTTCCCCTCTCCCCTTCCTGATTTACTGAATAGTAATGGATTTCCTGGGAACACACTTACCAGCAGTCAGATAAATAGCTTCCTGGGCACTGGCACATTGCTAATGTGATTTAGGGCTCCATCTGTGGAGCAAACCACCCCCCCGACAAACTCCGCTTCAATGCCCTTTGCAGCAAACTGGCTTTTTCATCTCTGGTCTCAGGGTCTGTTTCCCTTGAGGTCTCTCTGCCTGCATCCACAAAGAATCAGTCTCCCAATAGCCAATTACATGGGCTGTCCATCCTTCCCCAAAGATGGGTAGTGGAGTGTTGCTTTAGGGAATTCTTGGGAATGGAAAGACCTGGCTTCCTCTCAATCTGAGAGTTGAGCACAGCTGCCCACAAACTGAACAGAGCCACTGGGGAGGACTTGTTGGCCATGGTCACTCACCATCCTGGCTGGTATGAGCTACTCATGAAGAGAAAAAGGCAGGAAAGCTGTTCTCCTCCACGGCTGGGTCTAATTGCCCTCAGCACACCTGGCATGACCCAAAGACAGCACTATAGGACCCCATTCATTTGGAACCAGTCAAAGCAGGCTTTGTGATCACTAGACCATTTAAGTGATCTAGGAAAACAGGGTCTGTTAAGTCAGTTAGTATCATAAACAAAGACTAGGGGTAGGTGGGTTAGTTTGAGAAAATAAATTTACTATATCACTCACTTAAAAATTTTTAGCACCCAGTTCTCATATCAATGACGTGCTAATTACAAATGTTGTGTGCCTATTCACATCTTCACAGTCTCAGCTCAAATGACAATTTCTCCAGAGAGCCTTCTCGGATCCTCTCAGTTAACAACTCCTCTTTCCAAGTTCTCAGAGCACATTGTGGCTTTTACACATTTTTCTGTTATTTCTTACACTTTCCAATAAACTCCTTGGGGGCAAGGATCATACCCACATTCACATTCATGCTCTCACCTTTACAGTGCCTCAAACTAAGCAAACACTCAGCAGATTGGGTAGTATGGGAAGGGAGGACCAGAAAACGGCAATGAGAAGTCAGGAAGACCTGGCTTCAAATCTCACCTCAGATACTTACTAGCTGTGTGACCCTGGGAAAATCACTTAACTTCTCTGGGCTTCAGTTCCTCATCTGTAAAATGAGTGTGTTAGATTGGCTTTCTAAGGTCCCTTTCCAGCTCTAATTCCATCATCCTGTGAATGCTTGTTGAACGAGGTAAATACAGAACCCCTTGCTTCATATTGCCCCTGGTAAGCTCCTAGGGTAGATAGCAGCTAACATTGGGGATGAAAACCTTAACTTTGCTTTGCTTCAAGGCCTTTGCTTCAAATACTACCAAAATTCAGTTTGAGACTAATGACTTGGGGTCAACTCTGTGGGAGGGCTCTGCCTCTTAAATGAGTAAGGAAAGAAGTCCAAGAAAAGACTGCACGGAGACCAGACAAGACAAATCAGGTTAGCTGTTTATTGGGGGAGCTTTCCTCCAGGGGCCAGTGGGGGCGGGGGAAGGAAGAGTTTCATCAAATGGAAAAAAAGGTGGGACTGGCTGCTGGGTTCTGCTGTCAGCCCTTAACCCCACACCTGCTGCCCTGAGAGGATGCCCAATAAAATAGTGTAGGAACCAGGCAAAGCTCACAAACTATAAAAACAGGTCAGAAAAAAACCAACACCAAATTTCCCAAGGCTAAATGCTTGATGTTGCATCACTCTAAGGCTTTATTTTGCTTGCTATTTAGGTTTTCATCTGCTCTGCTCGCCTTTAACCTATCTTTTAATAAAAACTTTACCTTTTCTAGGCAAGGAAAGTAAGATCTTCAGATTAGATTGAGACCAACTTGGTGACCCACCAAGGTGGAGGGTAGGTGGGTGGGTGGGTTCTTGCTGTTGTGGTCTTAAAGAAGTTGGAAACAAGTCACAGATTTCTCCTAAAAGTTACTTTAGGAAAGGACCATAATATGGTGCTGGGGGGACAACATTCAACATCCCAAACTCTCCTTTCCCCGCCTTTCTCTCACCGCCCCCCCCCAAAACCCCAAGAACACACTGAGCATGGGCCACACAAGTCAGAGTAAAAAACATATTATTGCACATTGTTTATATTGTCATCCTGAGAGCCCTCTCAATTGTAGACCAGCCCTCTCCAATACTGCCTTTCAATCTGACCAATCTGACATCAAATGTCCTGACAGCGTTCATCCCCTCACGTAAACACACCTCTGCATTTTTACAAATGCTCCACCTCTTGCCTTCATACAAACAAAAACCTAGACCAGCTTCTCATCCCACACAGAGAGGGGAGGAAAAACAAAATGACCCTAAACTGTCGCCTACTCTTGGAAGATCTTATCTAGGGGCTAGTTATAGGGGGAAACTCCACTAGGGAACACAGTTTCAAAAAAGTCTAGGGGCCATCTAGAACTACAAAAGGCTTAGAAAATGACCTCTGTTAATTATTCTTCTTCCTTCCGACAAAAAGAAAATCTAGCTATCAGCTTTTAGTAAGCAGGCCACAAGATAGTCCAACTTAGAACACTTTAGCATTATGGGCAGTGCATCACTCACAGACAAAACATTTTTTTTTCCTAAGGAACCTTCAAGTAACATTAAATCCCTGATATAATTTGTAAACAAGACATCTTACTGAGTGAAAAAGCTAAGTCACTTCAGGAGGCAGCAGCATCTTAAAATACCTACAAGGCAGAGTGACATTTAAGGTTTAAAAAAAAAAGTTTAAAAAGGGACCCATCCACCCAATCCCAGAAGGCAGGTACTCAGATGTGTTTCTCTATTAAAACAACAATAACAACAAAACAGTGACGAATCTAAACAATAAAATCAAAAAACTAAAACAAACATACATTTGACTTCTAAGCCAAGGAAAAACTGCACCAACGCTTGGCATTTCCCAGAACCAAAAAACTTCCCAGTGTCATTTTACAGTGGGATAGCTGCCATTGATAAGAAATAGACTTTTTAACAATAAAAACAGGAAATATTCTTTGACTAGTAGTCTATCCAGGGTCAGGTAGTCTGGCCGCCAGCCAGATCCTTCTAATTCCCTGGAGTCCCTGCATTGGAAGACAGATGCAAAGCCATCTCTATACAACCAGATTTTCAGAGGGAAGTGTTCTTGGTGAGGTATGTTATTGCATTTTTCCACTTCTCACAGTTTTAAAAAGGGCAAAAGACCCCATGAGCCTGCGCTTCAACAAGGCCCTGGGGAGAAGAGGCCCTGAAAATAACCCAACTGCAGCTGACATCCTAGCATGTCTCGCCCAGCAGCTGGCTGCCTGGTGCAACCATGAGATCCCTCTCGTTTGTTCCTTCTTCTACTTTGGCCTCGACTGCTTAAACACAGTCTTAGGGAGGCTTTACTTTATCTGTCAAAACATCCAGCTGGGAATGAATGATGTCCACTGAAGTAACTACTCCCATAGGCCATGGAGATGCAGGGTTTCGGTTCTGCTCCAATCTGCCTGGGGAGGGGTGCTGGGATGGTGACAGCCTGGACTGCCGAAGGCTGGAGGGCAGAGTAAGGGTGGTAAAGAGAGGGGCCGGTGCTTCCAGAGAGCAAACTCCCAGACTGGTGGGGCTGGAGGGTGTCACGATAGGCTGAGCACAAGTCTTGCACAGGGGCCTGGATGTGGGACAGACTAGCTGCTGGTGGCTGGGGGAGGGGGTGGTGGAAGGCCGGCTGCTGGAATAGCACCTGGGTGGGGGCCTGATGTGTGCTGGGCACCAACACCTGGGGTTGCAGGGCCAGAGGCTGGTTCTTCACTTTGTTAGCATCCTTGAAGTCACTGTCAAAAGCCCTGGAGGGGAAGAACCAAATGAGAGTTAGGCAAAAGTTTGGTGATAAAAGTAATCACTAAATATTTTAAAACTGATTATATGCCCTATAATAATAGCAATTTACATGTATACATTTTTACATCATAAAGCACCTTTCTCATGACAACTCTAGGTGGCAAGAAGTGTAATAATTATTCCCATTTTACAGATAAGGAAAATGAGGCTCAGGTTAAAAAAAAAAAGACAAGTTTTTTTAAAAAAGTTCCTTAATATAATAAAGTTCATAGAGCCAGATCTTCTGACTCCAAGTTTAGTGTGTTACTCTGACATGATGCCTCTCAAGAAGAGAGCTGGCCCTTTGTATAAGCCTGAAAAGAGCAGCTCTCCTCCCCACCACTTGGCACAGTATTATCAGCCTTGTCTAACTGGTCAAGGGTCCAGGAAGCACTAGTCTGTGATTGTACAGTCAAGGGGGCTGTGGATGTGGTGGGTGTCACGAATACCTACTCATTCTAGTGCTTTCTCTCAAGCCCACCACTGGTCCTATGGTTTGTGTCTACTTTCAAAGCTAATTGATTGGAGGATTTCTTTTTGAGAGTTTTGCCTTCTCATGCCTTTTAAGTAGCTTCAGTGATTTTTCTGATCATTTGGAGATCAATCACTCACCCACTTAGCCAGCAAGTGTCCCAAGGCCCCTTGAAATGGCATCAAAGACTTAAACATTAACTAATCCGTACATTTATCCTCACCTAAGATGCTGCGTTAATTGACATTTCCATACTAAGTATTTTGCAGAGATGTATTTTGTGCTATTGTGCATATTACACACACAAACACACACACACACACTCACTCACTCCATTCTGAATTGTCCCTGCCTCAAAACATATACTCAAAACTCAAAGATACATACACATCAGGATGGCCTCATTCTAATGGTAAACAGCTACTAGTATGCTAAATTACACACACCAAGCCACAGAACCCCTAGGCCTTGCCATGAAATCTTAACACAGGCATCAAGGGATATGGGGTAAGACTCACAATAGCATGACTTTAACACACGCACTGATCTGCTCCATAGAATAGTGTGATATTCTCTCCAGGTCTCTGGTCCAGGTGGGAGAGAGCTGCAGGCAAATCCTAGAGGCCCCAATGCAAGCTGCAGCTACCATAGATGGTGGGAAGCTGTGAAAAATATGATCTGAAAGAGAAGATTAAGAGAATGATGAAAAATGACTCCATGAGAGTTCTAGCTCCCTTTGTGTCACGTGGCTTCCTTAGGACCAGGTCAATTCAGATCTTCCCACTGAAGGAGCAAGTGAGCAATGGATCTTAACCTGCCCAAAGCCCCAGTTCGTGGCTCCAGGTAGAGCTCCACCCTTCTTGTCCCAGTTCCTCCTCAGTCTCATGATCTCATGAGGTGGGAGCAAACCAGCAAACTGTCTCATACTTGTCACCTAAATCAACCATGAAGTAGTGAAAGCCTCAGAACTGCTTCTTTCCACACCTTTCCCTTCTTTTGGCTTTAGACAAAGGCCTAGGGCAGGAGTGAGGAATCTGCAGCCTGGAGGCCCCATGTGCAGCCTCAAGTTTCTATTCAGTCAAAGTGCCACATGTGGCCTGGAAGGTTCCCCACCCCTGCCCTGGGGCTTTAACGGTCTCTGAACCCCCTCTGCCCAGGCATTTGATTAGAAACAAGCACCATTCCTGAGAAACAAAAGAACTTTGTACTCTTTGAACAATTTCAAGCTCCAATAAGGCAAAGGGAGGAAGAAGTTCTGTTCTTCCTTTGGTTTGAGGAAGGTAAGGCTGGTCTTGGCCTTCGGGTCAGTAACTGAACTGTTTCTTGTCGTCTTAGACTTGTAGAGTGACAGAGCTCTAATGTGTGTTTCTAATATCTAATGTTTGTTTTCTAAACACTGATATCTGAGAAATTGCCTTCTGTGATTCAGTGGGAAGCACCCTTGAGCGAATTTTTTTAATTCCAGTACTGCTCTTATTAGATGTTTGAGGTGCTGCTACCTATTTGGACTGATGCTAGAATAAATATGAAAATATCCATACTATCTGACACAGAGATCCCACTGCTAAGCGTGAACCTTGAGGAGGTTCGACACAATGAAAGGTCCTACATATTCATAGCAGCACCTTTTGTATTAGCAAAGAACTGGGAACAAAGTAGATGGCCGTCTCCTGGGGGAGAGCTAAACAAATTATGGTAGATAAATATAATGCACTCTTACTGTGCTGAAAGCAATGATGAATATGCTGAATTCAGAGAAATATAGGAAGTCTTAATGTGAATTGATGAAGAATCAAGTTAGTGAAACCAGGAAAACAATATACCCAATGATCCCTAAAACAAACGGAAACAAAAAACTGAATGCTATGTGACTATAATGATCAAGCCTGGCCTTGGAGAAGGTGAGAAAATATACTTCTCTCCCCTTCTCTGCAGAGGTAGAAGGCATACAGCTGGAGAACACTGCACACATTGTCACACGTGATTGATGTGTCAGTCAAACTGAACTGATTTTTCTCCCTTACTTTTTCACTCTGTGTTATAAGGGATGGGTCACTGGGAGAGCTGCACTGGAAAAAGAAGGTGATATGGGAAGACTTACATGAACTGATACAAAGTGAAGTAAGCAGAACCAGAAGAACACTGTACAAAGTAACAGCAATATTGTAACGATGATCAACTGTGAAAGACTTAGCTACTCTGATCAAGACAACGACCCACAACAATCCCAAAGGACTCATGATGAAAAATGCTCATCTACCTCCAGAGAGAGAACTGATGAACAAAAGTGATCACATTTTTATAAAGACGCTGCTGTCTCCTGAAGTGATTTGACTAATTTTGTCACTCTCTTGCTTTTGGCCTCTGCTTCAGAATCAGAATCTTAGCTTAGGATTTAGATCTATTCCAACTTTCTCGTTTTATAGATGAGGAAACCAAGACCCAGAAGTGAAGCGGTTTTTGCCCCAAGTCAGCTGGGATCATAAAGTCAGAGATGGAAGAGACTTTAGAGGACACCCCTTTCATTTGAGGTTCAAAGAGCCACGCTGGTGCAGAGTTCTGGGACTCCTTACTTCCATGCTGATTCTTCATTCTACGACTCCTCTTTTTGCCCTAAGCTGATCAATGGCTACCATCTCATGTGGCCTTCATCCACCTCTACCCTGGGACAGAAGCCTTGGGCCAACCCCCTGGCATTCTCCCAGCCCCTGGGTGGGCTCTCATCTCCTTACCTTGTAATGAGACTTCCAGAAAGTAGTGGGCATATTTCTCTAAGAAACCTTTGGTTTTTGAGAAAGAGAAGATAGGCCAATTGTTGCAGAGGTCCTTCTGGCTGAGAGAGAACAAGAGGTAGTAATCCACATAGTGGGCTGGGGTAGGCACGCAGAGGTTCCATCCAAAGGCCTCCAAGAGGAGCAGCTCCGTCTGGAGAAGTTCCTTCTTACTCAGCACCAGCTGGTAGCTGCACAAGAGGCCCAGGCTGTTCATCTGCTCCAGTTTCGGCACTCGGTCCTCCTTCTCTTCAAATTTGCCTGGGGGAGGGAGGAGGTGGAGGGACACAGACAAGAAGGTGTCTGAAACTCTCCCAATAAGACAGATGGAAGACTCATTATGCCCAGAAAGGCCATGAAGTACACAAGGATTTAGGCATGGCTTTAAAGTGGGTTCATGGTGGAGCATGAAGGCCAGGGTAAAAACACGAGGAAGACCTACCTGGGATGTTTGACTGAGAATGCTAGCTAGGAAAACTACTGCTATAAGCTTCCAAAAAGTCCCTATTCTCCCCCCCACCCCAACACATTTCCAGAAACCACAGTAAATGGATATCCTGACTACATATCTGACCTCAGAAGACAAAAATGTGGGAACTGCATGTTACTCTGTGTGTGTATACATACATGCATATACATACAGACACACATATACATAGGTAATTTCCAAAGCAGACCCATCCTGCTTATAACTTCATAAGTATAGAAAACTCCGGGTGAGGAACCTGTTCAATCAATGCAGATCTTCTTGGGCAACTTAATAGTCCTTGAAGGTTGCATGGAACGTCGACTTGCCCAAGGTCACATAGCCAGCACCTGGCAGAGGGAGACCTGAATTCTGGTCTTCCTGATTCCAAGTCTAGCTCTTTACTAGGCCATGCTGCTTATAGTGTTAGTATTATCATCCTGGGCTTACTAATAAGGAAAATGAGGTGGCTTGTCCTGGGGCATCAACTAGTAAGGATGCAAGTGCACAATTTGAACCCAGGGTTCTCTGACCTCCAAATCCAGTTCTCTTTCCACTATTGCACTTGTTCTCAGCCTCTGAGTATAAGAACTTATTCTTGTCAAAAAACTCTGCAGAGTATGACTTCACATGTATAATGGGCATCATATTGCTTGTCTTAATGGGTGGGGAAAGGGCTGGAAGGAGGGAGAGAATTTGGAACTCAACATTTAAAAAAAGAATATTAAACATTAAAAAAAATCTATATCCTCCTCTTCCCCCCACAGTCGTAGTATTTAGTATCTATTGAGAAAATATATAACATAAAGCTAGTATGAATTCAGCAACAGCTTAAGCAGACTTTTAAAAAAAATTATTCTTAAGAACATCTCCCCAACATTTGAAAGACAGTAAGGTACCTAGAAAGGCAGGTAGGTGACTGGGTGGATAGAGTGCCAGGCCTGGAGTTAGGAAGACCTGAGCTCAAATCCGACCTCCAACACTTAGTAGTTGTGTGACCCCAGGCAAGTCACTTAACCCTGTTTGCCTCAGTTTCCTCATATGTCAAATGAGCTGAAGAAGGAAACTACAAACCACTCCATTATCTTTGCCAAGAAAACCCCAAATGGGGTCACAAAAAGTCAGGCACAACTGAACAACAAGGTAGAGAATGCTGAAGTTAGGAAGACCTGAGTTCAAATCAGACACGTCCTAGCTGTGTGACCCTAGGCAAGTCACTTAAAATGTCTGCCTCAGTTTCAACTGTAAAATGGGAATAGTAATAATAGCACCCAAGGATTGTTGTGAGGATCAAACGAGATATTTATAAGGCACATAGCATAGTACCTGGCACGTAGAGGGCACTATGTAACTTAAATGCTTTGCTTATTACCTTCCCTTCCTATATCCAGTAATATAAATGTGCATGAGATTTCTTTCATTCAGTTTATCATAACACTCATATATATATGCAAAATGTTTTACATATAACAACACTGTGAGGAGGGTACAGTTATTATCTCCATTTTACAGATAAGGAAAGTTAAGCACATAGAGAGTAAGTGACTTGCAGGGGCTAAACAGCTAGTAAGTGTTTTCTCAGGCAGGACTCGAATTCAGGTCTTCCTGACTCCAAGTCCAGCCCTCTATCTACCTACTACTCTGCCTCCTAGATAACTTGGGCTATAGATAGAGTGTTTTGCTTATTTATTATACTGAGCCATGTTGTGTATTTTGGAGGTGCTAAAGATTCTTCTCCTACCCATTACACGGTGTAGTCACTGGGCATTAGCAGGGCTGTTTGAGTTTTATCACTTGGGCCTTGGACAAGTCACTTTTTAGGCCTTATTTATCATCTCCATATCATCTTACACGGAGAAATATGTGGTTGTTTGTGTATGATTCTTCCTGACCACATTTGAGTGTTTTTTGGCAAAGACACTGGAGTGGTGTGACATTTCCTTCTCCAGTTCATTTTACAGACGAGTAAACTGAGGCAAACAGGGTTAAATGACTTGCCCAGGCAAGCTAGTCAACATCTGAGGCTGAGTTTGAACTCACCTCTTCCTGACTCCCTGCCTGGCACTCTGTCCACCACTCCACCTAGCTGCCCTCGAGACTGTGTGTATCTTCTCTCAACTATTACCTCTGCATATTTGACTCAAATCAATATTCACCCAGAATTGTTCATCATTACCTCATCTCCCATTGACCGAGGCCCACAACGTCGGTGTCTACTCTTCACTCTCAATCCAAACTTCAAACACGTTGCCAAATCTCGTCCTTACTTCCTTCACATAGGTACCGCTCTGGGCCAGGCCTTCATCACCTCCCACCTGGTTTACTGAAGTAGCCCCCATCTCCTCACCTAGTCTTTCCCCTACTCCAATTATCCTTCATTCTGCTGACAAAGTGAGTTTTCCAAAGAGTAGGTCTAACCATGACACCTGATGGTTCAGTGGGCTCCAGGGGCTCCCCATTACCTCCAAGGTCAAATAGAACCTCCTTTTGGCCATGTGAAGCTCTTCATAACCAAGCCCCTTTCTACCTTTCCAGTTTTCTTATAGATGGATCTACTTGTTGCTTCCTCATGATACTCTGTTTTCCATCTGTGGTCACTGGCTACATCTGACAGAGATTATCTTCTATCCACCTGGTTTTTACACACTGTCTCCTCCATTGCATGCTCTTTAAGGATAGGTTTGCCGCCCCCCACCCCCTTTCTATGTATCCTTAGTACTTAGGACAAGGTAAAATCTTGCTCACTGACTTAAAAAAAAACCCACAAAACTTTTATTTACTTTGTTTTTCATTTAACCTGTATTTATTTTTCTCTCCTCTCTCACCTAATTTAAAAACAAGAAAAAACCTTTGTAACAAATATGCAGTGTCAAAAATTCCCACTGCCCATATTCAAAAACGTGTCCCATTTTGCAACTTGCATCCTTTGGAGGTGGGGAGCACAGTTCAGCCTGAGTCCTCACAATCATGTGAGTCACTGCATTGCTGGCTTACTTCCTCTTCTCCACTCTAGGTGCCTCTAAAACTGGACGGTGCCAGCGGCCTCTCAGGAGGCTTATCTTCCCTCACAGTTCAGCTCAGGTGCCATCAACATCAAGCCAACTGCCCTGAGCCTGCCAAGGGTTAGTTAAGCGCTCTCTCACTCCTCCAATTACCCCACATTTACTTATCTCTGAACATGCTGTCTTCCCCCAATAAAGCAGACGCTCCTCTGAGAACACAGACTGCTTTGTTTTTGTCTTTGCATCACCAGTGGTTAGGAAACACAGCCTGGTGTTGTAACCAGTAGTGCTGGGTGATGGGATCCAATCTAATCCAACCCAATTCAATTTTACAAGCACTTAGGAAAATAATGATAGTAATAATAATAATAACTAAGTAGTACAGTGGATAAAGTGCCAGGCTTGAACTCAGGAAGACTCATCTTCCTGAGTTCAAATCTGGGCCTCAGACATTTAGTAGCTGTGTGACCCTGGGCAAGTCAGTTAACCCTGTTTGCCTCAATTTCCTTATTGTCAAATGAGCTGGAGAAGGAAATGGCAAATCGCTCCAATTTCTCTGCCAAAAGACAAACAAACAAACCAGCCAGGTTGCATAGTGGATAGAGCACTGGCCCTGGAGTCAAGAGAACCTGAGTTCAAATCCAGTCTCAGACCTAGCAGCGTGACCCTGGGCAAGTCACTTAACCCTGCTTGCCTCCCCCTCCAAAAAAAGAAAACCTCAAGTGGAGTCATAAAGAGTTGGACATGATTGAAAATGACTTAACCACAACAACAAACATTATGTGCTAAATTCTTTACAATTATCATAATCATCATCATCATCATCATCATCATCATTCTAATAGCTAACTATGAATTCATATAGAGTTTACTATGTGCCAGGCATTGTGCAAAGTGCTTTACTATCATTATCTCATTTGATCCTCACAACAGCCCAGGGAGGTAGGTGTCATTATTATCCCCATTTTACAGGTAACGAAACCGAGGCAAACTGAAGTCAAGTGACTTGCCCAGGGTCATACAGCTAGTAATTATCTGAGGCTAAATCTGAATTCAGGTCTTCCTGACACTAGGACCAGTGATCTGTGCACTGTTCCAGGCAAATTGTCCCTGACCTATAAAAGAGTTTACATATTCTCAAGAAGCGGGATATAAATAACAAGTATATGCAGGGAGAGATCTCCAATCACCAGGAGGAATGAAAGAAAGGATTCCCTTGGGAAGCTGAGCCTTGAAGAGTGGTCCCACTACCAAAAGGTGGTGGTGAGGAGGGAATGCATTCCTGGCAGGAGGAACAGCCTGTACAAAGGGCCCGAGGCAAGAGATAGAGGAATAGGGGGAGGGATCAGGGAATCTCAAGTGGGGCTCTTAGGATGGAAAGTCCTTGAAAGGGGGTGATGCACAATGAACTTCTTTTGCTAAAGCCCACTGGAGGTGGGGTCAAGAACAAGCCATCTACCTTCCAGTGCTCCAGATAGAGCTCTCTAAACGGCCCCTCTTTGGCAACTTGGTAAAAACTGTGGAACCCTTCTCAGAATAGTTGTTGCCTACATTCATAATTGAAGGAAACAATAAATTTTAATTGGAAGTTAGTAAAAATAAAGATGTATTTTTTTCTCCCTCATTTCCCACTCCCTGAAATCTATCCAAGATTTTGAGGTTAAGAATTTCTCTGCTCTCAGACCACAAATCAGAAGACTAGCTGGGGATTTGCAGCAATGACTGATTAAAAAGGCTGGACTTTGGAATGCCCTGATGAAATCACAAGTCCACAGACCAACCCAAACTCTAGA